CTTATCAATTTGAGCCTGAATCAGACCCAGAGAATATTAGTGAAGAGGATCAAGCAGAACTCTTACAGGATGTTTCAGAATGGTAACTTATGCTTTTTTGTTTGTAGTTGTCTCATACTTTATAGATACGCTGTTATTTGTAAATGCTACTGCTGTTTATGTTAGCTTTTGATACACGGTTTTATCCTTATTAAAGCTTTAGTACAGCAGAATACATGATTGCGTTGCAGCATTTTTGTAGAATAATTGTTATATTCTATTTTGTAGAATAATTGTGATATAATAATTTATAACAGTAACACTTTGTCAACTACAACAACTCTTCCTAGGGTTTGTGATGTCACCAACCCAGGAAGAAGATCCTTGTAGTCCCTACCAGCCGTGTGTTGTAGGCCTTAAATGCAGATGTTGTTTATGCTCAAACAGCAACATTACACACTAACTAAAGTTAAAAAATGGAGACCATAATCAAGGACCTCTTTAAAACACCTGTCAAATCCATACATGGATTTGCTTTACTTTTAAGACTTCCAGTCTTGATTTGGGTACTGTGATATTTTTTGTTTAATTTTGGCCTTAGATGTCACACAACAACAGCGATGGATGCTTGAATCAGATGAATAACAGTGGAAACACTGTTGATCCATTATCAAGAGGAGAATAAAAAAACCGGCACTCACAGATTGATTCTGCAGGGGCCACCAGCCAGCACAGATCTAATGAGAATACAAGGGAAGGGGGACGAGAAAGAACGCCTGCATCTGGTGAGAATGCAGAGAAAATGACCAAAAATTCCAAATCCGATGAGGTTCAAAGCCCCAAACCAAACCATAGTACATCTAGAGAAGGCAGCTCAAACCAGCCCTCTCAAAGTGCACCTATGGACACTTCAGATGTTTCCTCAGTTGTTTCCAGCTTAGGAACAAGACCAAAGCCTTCAATAGAGCTGCAGCCCACATATCCCATCCAGAACCTCAGAACAATGGTAGACTTCTACAAAGAGCTTGACAATTACTTTTACACTACCTAAAGTGTGTTTATCATGCGACCTATTATCTGTCTCTGTCTATTTGTAGACCGCAATTATGACCTACAATTCCAACAATGACAAATGGACATTTGATGCACTTTATAATTATGGTCAAGTTAGTGAATCTATCACTATATCAGAGAACAGGTAAATATTAATGTGAAAATACACACAAGAGGTGTAAAGAGGATCTGAAAACCATACTTGGGTAAAAGTACAGATACCTTACAGTGAAAATGACTCCATTACAAGACACCAGTTCCAATACAACCTGAGTAAAAGTCTTAGAGCATCTGATTTTAACAGTACTTAAGTATTTTACTTGTACTGAATGTAGGCTCAAAGATGCACTAGTCCTCAACACCTAAGAGAAATGCCAGTGAAAAACAAGACAGTTCATTTATGAGGAGAGTGATCACATTTATTTTCTGAAATCAAAATAAAACAGACACCTCAAAATTACAATAAATCAAGGTTGAGACAACAGCTTCTTAAACGCCTACAAACACTGAAGTCTCCTAAGTAAACTAATATCCTTCAACCGTACCACCCACCCCATGCCCCTGTGGAGGTCTGTGCACACCACTGCAGCCATGTCCTCATCACATATATGTTGACAAGTTTGTGTGCAGAAGGGCAAAACGCACAATATATAGTACCTTCAATGCCCTTAGATAGCGATATCACTTCTTTTGTAATTGAGTAACTGCATTCCTCATCACAAATGTATTGGAGTAAAGAGTAAAATGTAATCAAGTAGAAAGTAAAAGTTGCTAATATCTTTGATACTCAGTAAAACTATGAAGTTGCCAAAAAGATACTTAAGTACAGTAACTTGTTACATTTACTCAAATACTTTACGCCACTGGATACACAGATTGATTTGTGTAATTGCTCTACAGCGCTTACACAAAATGGACAATAATCTCCATTTGCTGATCCCAATGATTTTGGTTACGATTTTGTCATCTTAGACAAAGTTTGTGAATAGGCTTTTATGCAAAATCTTATCAGGGTTATGTTGTACAATGTGACAAGCAACAATCATACAAGACAAAGAAAAAAAAAAATCACACATTTGCACACCAATGCATAATTTGTCAGGCTATAACAATGGAGATTTAGATTGAATTTAGATTTAACTAATTGCATTGCTTGTACTGTCTACACTTTATCTCTAGCCCATCCCTCTCCTGCGACAGCAACAGAACCTGGCCATAACAATGTCTCAGCAGCAGATTTCTTGTCTGTTAGCAAACGCCTTCTTCTGCACTTTCTCTCACAGGAACGACACTAAACCTAGTTCAGAATATGCCAACTTCCCCACCATTAACTTCAGCAGGTGTTACACTGATCACATTAAACTGAAACATATATATATATATATATATATAGTGTTGTGAAAAGGTTTTTGCCCCCTTCCTGTTTTTTTTAAGTTTTTGCATATTTGTCACACTTAAAAGATTCAGATCATCAAACAAATTTTAATATTACACAAAGATAATGCAAGTAAATACAAAATGCAGTTTTTAAATGATGATTTCTTTTATTAAGGGAAAAAAGCTGTCCAAACCTGCCTGGCCCTACGTGAAAAAGTAATCTAATAACTGGTTGTGCCACTAACCTGTAGGACCTCCTTTAGCCTACAAAACAGTGGCCATGTGGTAAGGCATTGATTAGACGAGGTGGTGATGGGTCTCCTGGGGTATCTGGTACCATAATGTCAACAGCAGGGGGGTGGTGGTGATGTAGCGCAAACCAGCTTTTTCGATTTCATTAATGAAAATTCACCATCATGTTCCTCGAACTACTCGTCGAATCTGGCAATGCAACATGGTACATTATCCTGTTGGTAACGGCCATCACCGGCAAGGAACATAGTTGCCATGAATAGGTGCACTTGGTCCACAACAATGTTCAGATACCTGAGAGCTGTCAGGGATTGTGGTATTGGGATAATGGGGTCTAAAGTGTCCCAAGAAAACAATGCTCACAGCATAACACCGCCGCCACCGGCTTGTGTCTGCCCATTTGTGCCCAAAAGTGCATCCAGGTGCCATAGCCTCAGTTGGTAATCGGCGTATCCGCTCTCGGCCATTGAATAGTGATGCACCAAGAATCTTGATTTATCAGACAAGGCCACTTTCTTCCAATCATGCACGGTCCAATTTCAATGATCTTGGGCCCATTTTATGCGTTGTTGACGATGGCGTGGGAGACCCGGCTGGGTGGACGACTACATAGGCCCTGCTGGTGATTTGTTGCACTGTTGCCCTGCGGTCGCTGTGAACAATGCGCAACAGTCTCAGCCCCCCTCTACCATCATGTTTTGATACATACTCTCTATAGTTACATGTAAACAACCCACAAGGCCTGGGCCATCACAATGTGTCCTTAATCAAACTCCAATAAATCGGCAGCTTTTCCTATTCTGACACCAAACAGTCCTGACTACCAGGAAAAAACAGTTTTGTGAATTTAGTATTTTGTCATGTCATTACATTGTTTAGAGCATAAGAACAATTTAGAAAAATTAAATTTGAGAAAAATTATATTTTATTCATATGTTATGCCATGTCTCTGTAGAGGACATTGGGACTTCTGTTTTAAAAAAAATAAAAAGACATGAATAGACATGAAAAGGCAAAAAGAGTGGGATTTTTATTTTAACCAGAAATCAATTTTCATTTTTTTATTCCAAACTTTATATAAAGATAATTCTCAACTATGTTATGAAAGATATTTAAAAAATATATTTTTCTTTATGCAAAATGTGTGTAAAATGGCCATAAACGAGTTTTTCTTTGATATACAATGTATCTATAAACTGTATCTAATTTGCATATTAATGTGTTTTTGGGGCAACATAGAATGAACAAATAAGTGCAATAATGGGAGTAATAATTAGCAAGATTTTCATAATAATATCTAATATTTAATAGGAATATTGATATATAATTTTTTCTCTATTCATTTGTTGTGTCTCCCAAAATGTGTAATAAACATGCTTTAAGTCCTGGTGTCCTCGACAGTGGACATGTATGAAACTGATGTCCTGTTTCATAACAGAAGGTCATATTTTGATTTGAAACGCCATAACATTTTCCTGAGATGTTGATTTATGACAAACAATTTGTCAATTAGTCAGATTTAAATGATAATTACAAAATATTATCATATTTCAATTAGGGTGTTACATTTGATCACTGAATGAATGTCAGCCATTTTTAAAGACCAAAGAGAGGGAGTGGTCATGGTGAAATATCCAATCATTTGGTATATTTGGCAAATAGGCTTATACTATATACTGATATTAGTAATTGAGTAGGGCTTCGCAAATAAAAATCCCATTCATTTCCTCCTAAAGAAATGGATTTTTAGTGATACATTTTAAATCTTTTTAGAAAGACACACCATGAGCTCGGAGTTAGATGATAAACATTAACATTCAGAAGTTTGGGGTCAGTAAGATTTTATTTTATTTTTTACAAAAATAATACTTTTATTTAGCAAGGACGCATTAAGCAGCAAGTTTTCAACATTGATAATCATAATAAATATTTCATGAGCAGCAAATCATCATATTAGAATGATTTCTGAAGGATCATGTGACACTGAAGATTGGAGTAATGATGCTGAAAATTCAGCTTTACATCACAGGAGTAAATGACAATTTAAAATATATTCAAATAGACCCCAAACTGTACTGTAGAAACTACAAGTCTGCATTATTTGAGCTTTTTTAAATATATTTATTTTTAGTAGCATAATTTAATAGCCAAATTCAAGAACCAAAGACGCTCAGTGTTGCTTTAAAAACATACAGTAATACTATTTTAATTTAAACTAGTTTTCCAAGTTCTGATTTAGAGTAACCTGATCGATTCTTCTCTCGATAGATAAACTGTACAACTGGCTGAAAGAGTTCTCTGGACACTACGCTCGTGAACATCACTTGCCAGCAGATCTGGATGGATTCATCAGTGAGAAGATCGGGCATATGGCTAGCTTATTGTAAATCTGCCCGGCTACTCAAGAGATACATACAAGCTCACTTCAGAAAACAGTAGTCAAAAACAGTTCAGCAGTATTAAATATGTAAAGCTGCTTTGAATGTATCAGATATCTGAAGGATCAGAGTAATGAAGTTAACAATACAATACAAAAAAAACAAAACTGCTTTATGTAATGTATTTGTTTTTGGACCACAGGTGTCATATAAACTTAAATGTTTACATTAATTAAAATAAATTATAGTCTGTCACAAATCATATCAATCAAAGGCCTTAGTATCATCTGAAAGTGCACAAGACATGTCTTTATTAATGCAAAAATAAACTGTGCTCATGTTAAATTTGTTCTTGCATAAGTTATTAGTACAAACAAGTAAACAGACTGAACTGAGATGCTTTTATTGAACGAAGTATCATAACAGTAGTCTGGAATACACATAAGCTTAAGAAAATAAATAAATCCTTTTATGTCCTGAAGAGAGTCTTTCCGCTTGCTGCTTAATCTCAGCTTATTGTTTTTTTAAATTACAAGAAGATAAAATGATTGTTTCAGCTTTCAGTCCTTGAATTCACCTATTTAAGTTCATAACAATTTGGCACTGAGTTTTTAGAGGGTGAATGGGAGAGATGAAGGTATAGAAGAGGATGAAGGTGAAGGATATGGTGTCTTTACATTTCCTTCTGTATTATAAAACTTCTAAACGCAGGTAAGGTAAGTAGTTCCGTTTTCGCAATAATTAAAAAAAATGCATAGGGTTCCATGCATGCCCTTTAACACCCTCATGCTATCAATTCTGAGAGACATCCATGCCAACGCGGGTAACGGATGGTGCAAACATTTTCTTGCGCTGTTGTCCGTGATTTTGTACATATTCAAAATTAATTATTATTTGTATTATTGAGGAGAAACCTCTAGTTCAAGCTGCATGTCACTTTAAGGCTCTATTAAAACCATCATCAACATGCCTCAGAGATACATGCATGTAAATTGATCCCATTACCATGTAGTTGCTAAAAGCTCACATCCTTTTAGTAAATCTGCATATATAGGCCTCTCATACCTACTGTACAGTGCAAATCAAACCTGTGCTTTGGTCAGGACATTCCTAGCTGCCAGCCTGCCATCTAACGCTAACAGCGGGGTGTGAGTTTCCTGAAAAAACGAGGGATGGAGGGTTGGAAATTAAGTGAGTGGATGGGGTGAGGTGCTTAGGACTGGTCCTGGAAGGAATTCAGGTTAAAGGCTGTGTCTAAGAACCGCTCCAGCTCCACAAGATGAGCCTTCTTGTTGCCTGTGGCGGGGGCAGCTGCAGGCTCTCGGCCAGCATACCTGAGAAGAATACATGTAAATAGAAATGTAAATGCATGTTTACATTTAGCAGATGCTTTCATCCAAAGTGACTTACAATTGAGGTCTAACATGCATTATTACATGACTTATATGCATTAACAACGCAAGGGATAATTGGGTACAAATACTGTTGCATGAATGCATAGCATCCAGCATCGTTTGGGCAGTTTAACTGTTCAGGACCAGCAACGGACTCATTAACAACCATCAAAACAAAACAAAAAACTGCTGTGGATCATCCAGGTAACAACAAAGTATTGAGAATCAAGCGTAGGTCATTTTTATAAATTCAACTATTATTTTCTCTTGTGGACTATATGTAAACATCTTTTATGTTAAATATCTTATTCAGGTCAGTACTAAATAAATAACATGCATTTTGTATGATCCCTCTTATTTTGGTAAAATAATTTACATTTTTCAGATTCTGCAAGGCGATTGTAAACGTTTGACCACAACTGTATATTTTTTTACATCACAGTAATGCAATACAAATGTAAATTTTACTTGACACATGGCTTCATTGTCTGTATGCCAAATATCATTCTTTTAATTTTGGAGAAAAATGTGACCTAGTTCTTGAGAGATTTTGTGAGATTCACTCTTCAGATGAATCTAAGGACACAAGTTACCGTATGGGACGGGTGTTGTTGAACACCCTGCTGATGCGTGGCTTGACGTAGTCGTAGTAGCCTTGATTCTTATGCTCTTCCTGGCACCACAGAAGCTGAGCCTGTGGATACTTCTCTGCCTCTGCTTTTACCAGGTCAAACGGGAATGGAGAAAGCTGGACAAAAATACATTTAAAGTCATCAAATACATCTTTGAACTACTTTAGGGTGAAGGCATTAAGCGAAAATTATAATGCTGTGTATAAATGGCCCATTTAATAAATATAATTATGAAAGTGTATCCAGCATCGTTTGGGCAGTTTAACTGTTCAGGACCAGCAACGGACTCATTAACAACCATCAAAACAAAACAAAAAACTGCTGTGGATCATCCAGGTAACAACAAAGTATTGAGAATCAAGCGTAGGTCATTTTTATAAATTCAACTATTATTTTCTCTTGTGGACTATATGTAAACATCTTTTATGTTAAATATCTTATTCAGGTCAGTACTAAATAAATAACATGCATTTTGTATGATCCCTCTTATTTTGGTAAAATAATTTACATTTTTCAGATTCTGCAAGGCGATTGTAAACGTTTGACCACAACTGTATATTTTTTTCCATCACAGTAATGCAATACAAATGTAAATTTTACTTGACACATGGCTTCATTGTCTGTATGCCAAATATCATTCTTTTAATTTTGGAGAAAAATGTGACCTAGTTCTTGAGAGATTTTGTGAGATTCACTCTTCAGATGAATCTAAGGACACAAGTTACCATATGGGACGGGTGTTGTTGAACACCCTGCTGATGCGTGGCTTGACGTAGTCGTAGTAGCCTTGATTCTTATGCTCTTCCTGGCACCACAGAAGCTGAGCCTGTGGATACTTCTCTGCCTCTGCTTTTACCAGGTCAAACGGGAATGGAGAAAGCTGGACAAAAATACATTTAAAGTCATCAAATACATCTTTGAACTACTTTAGGGTGAAGGCATTAAGCGAAAATTATAATGCTGTGTATAAATGGCCCATTTAATAAATATAATTATGAAAGTGTATGGAGGTACCTGCTCAATGCGGCTGATGGCCACTGTGTCCTCCAGGCCTCTGGTCTTTCGTTCTTTGGTGAGGTCATAATAAACTTTCCCTGTGCAGAAGATGAGACGCTTCACTTCAGCTGAATTCTGTGATGCACTTCTCTCTTCTGGAATCAGACGTCTGAAGTGTGTGCCTAATCAAACCCAAAAACACCCAAAAATTTCGACAAAATTTTTTCCGCAGGACGTTGTATGACTGGCAAAATTTCAAATGGACAAACCTAGCAGCATGTCGTCAAAACTTGACTTAGCCTCTGGGTGACGTAGCAGCGATTTAGGCGTGAAGATAATGAGCTAGAGTAAATAGAAAAGATTAAAACTTCATGAAACCACAAGTTAGCTACAGACAGAGTCCCACAATGTTTGACCAATACATTTTCATAACTGTTCTATGTCCAGGATTTAAAAAAAATACTTTAATTTACATAGATTTGCTAATGAATCCATTCAAAACAATATGTAGCCCATTTTGACTAAATCATTGAAAAAGCTACTTAAAAATAATGATTTACTCCCAAACTGGACATTGCTAGTAATCGCTATCAAATTAAATATTTTAGAGCAAAAATACTCAAATTTCCATTGCAAATATATGATTTTCCATGATTAAACCATTATTTCCAAAACTGGAATGCAATTTTAAAATTCCCTGATACTTCCAGGTTTTTAATGATGAGGGAAACCTGTACAGATGATTAAAAGAGTGAGATGTCTCTTACAGGCTTTCTGAAGGGTAGAAGGATCTGCCTCCGAAGAACATGGAAGTAGTTTGCAGGAGTGGAACAGTTCACCACAATCCAGTTACAGTCATAAAGCTGCCGGACGGCAAAGTCCTCTGTGATTTTCTGTGTCAAACAAATGAGTATTAAGACAAGAACAATATTCATAGTAAATATTGTGTTTGGTTAAAATTTTCATGCTTAAAAAAGTCAGAGATTTACAGGGAAAATGTCAGGGTCATCATTACACATCTGTAGGAATCTCTCAGGACGGGCAGAGGAGTGCTCTGGTCCCTGGAAAGATCACCAAGAAAGTAATGAAAAAGGGAACTGATGACAAGATGGAAGCTCAGAGGTGGATTTAGGATGAAAAGACCTCACCATGCCCTCCATGCCATGAGGCAGCAGCAGCACGATGCCGTTCTGTCGGACCCACTTGGCCTGGCCGGGGGAGATGAACTGGTCGATGATGCACTGGGCTGTGTTGTGAAAGTCTCCAAACTGAGCCTCCCAGAGCACTAGAGCGTCAGGACTCGCCATGGCAAAGCCAAGCTCAAAACCTGCACACAATGAGACACAGACCTCAGGACATTCTTGTCCAATGGGCATATAATGTGCAACTTCTTCTGGGTTTGTTTGACCGACAGCAACCAGCCACAGTTCATTTGGTTTATACCCACCAAGAACCCCGTATTCTGACAGGGAGCTGTTGCACACAGTATAAGGAGCCTGGTTTGGGTCGATATAGTTCATGGGAATGCAGGTTCGTTTGTCGACGTTCTGATCGTGTAGGACATGGTGCCGATGACTGTATGGGGATAAAAAGGTAGACAATGGAGTTGCTTCCAAATCAATTTTATTCAGGAGCAGTGGCGGCTGGTAGAACATTTTCTAGGTAGGGCGCCATATCCAACCATTTTAGCATACATCCTGGTAGGATTTCTCCCAGTTTAACAAAAGGAAAATTATTAAGACTTGAAACATTTTAAATAAAGATAATTGTTTTACCAAGTTCAAGATTGAGAATGATTCCCATAAAACTATATTTTCTGCAAGCTTTTTTCAAGATAAATTAAAATATTTTTTAATTTTCATAATTCACAATTTATGTATACAGAGCAACAGCAAAAACTGTGAGGAAAAAATAAATGTTACATTTGTTTAGAGCATTTTCTATATATATATATAAATAACTGCAAGTCAAGCTGCAATACCAAACAGGACCACACAGAGATGCCAACAGACTCCTATACCAGTTGCCTTAACCTGACTGTATATAGATAAATGCTGATCCATTCAGAATTATTAAACAGAGCAAAACACAAATGAAAGTAAATAAAAACATTCTGAATTTGTCGAATGTGGTGATCTGAAGGCGGCTCGACATCACCAGTGAAAAGTGCCTCTGTCAGAGTGTTCTTGTCTGAGTGTCTACATAAACACCACCGACCATTGCAAACTCCTATAAAAACACGCTTCTTCAGCGAGTGTTCATTATATAGCACTTGCCAGACATGTGACCATACTGAAATGTTTTCGTGCAAAAAGCTATCAGAGAGCGCACATACACAGTCTGTTTGTTTGCACATTAATAATAACAGACTTGCGCGTCTAATAGTATGCGATTGTTTGTCACTGTAATCGTCTTTACTTCCATTACAATCGTCATCCATCTAAACTTTGTTTGCTTTATTCAGCCCATACAGACTAGTCCTGACTTCATATTTCTTATTAATAGAGGTATGTTTGCTCCCAACAATCGCTGCACAGGTTAATGTTACGTATGATGACGAAAGCATGTTAGTGCTAGCCCTCCCGGAACTCATATGGCACTTTTCCACTGCGTGGTACGACTCGGCTCGGTACGGCTCAGTACGGTACGGCACGGCTTGTGTTCGGTTTGTGTTTCCACTGCAGTTTAGTATCGCTTTAGAATGGGCGGGATTATTCACATGTCGTTATAGTTGCGCCGCCTCTACTGCCGCGACTCCTAAAAAACATTTTCATTCCACGTCGCCCCATCAAGCTCTCGCTGGATCCGCTCCTCTGCTATCAACGAGAGGAACGTCTGTTCTTCTGCAACAGGGGGAACAGCCACTTTTTGGTTGTTAAAAAAAGGTGCGCTCGTTCAAAACAGTTGCGTTCGATCCTTCGCTAGCTGTGCTGATTTAAATCTAGCGGGTCTGTTTGTGTCTCATGTCGCAAGTTCAGTGATGCAGGTAGTGACGATTTTCTCCGGCCAATCCGTGATCAGTAGAGTTTACACGTCACGTTTTGGTAACGGTACGGTACGCTTGGAACCCCAACTGAGGTGGTACTAAAAAAAGTACCAGGTACCAGGTACTGTACCCAGTGGAAAACC